GCAGAGCTCGCGCAGGTGCATCAAGTTTTCCTCGCTAGTTTTCACACTCATAGCCTTTCCTAAAACGAATACATCCCGAACTCGAGCTAAACAATTCAAGCTGTGACGATTCGTGATTAATGTAGGTCACGACATTTGGCTTATCTTTTGTCAGTAAGCTGACAGCTCGAGCGAGTTGTGTTTATCACTGTCGGCGAGGGACGCTCGCTCAAGATCAAATTTTCTGGTGGGTACACATCAAGGCGATCACATCGATACGCGTGTCTTGAAACGAGAGGAATCTGAGAACAATTTGCTTACCTAGGTGTGGCGGTCGGGCGTGGTTCCATGGGCAGGGAACATCGAACTTTATGCGTTCGAAAATCTACCAAATCCGGTCGCGACGGTGGTGTTCGTTTGAACGATATCAGGTACATGCCGGCCTGCCGTGTTGAATTGGGTTAACTCGCCTCCGAATAAAAATGATCACGTGACTAGAAGTTGAAACCCAGTTGAAGCACTGTGGGTTGAAGCAACAAGAGTTGAGGACAACTGGAGTTGAAGCAGGTTTTTACCTAAAACATTGAAAAAAAAAGCTGTAAAATGTATTAGTGACCATTTTTATTAAATACATTAAAAGGTACGCTTACGTTTATTAAAACAAAAAGCGCTCAGATTAGTTTACCGGTTTAGCCAAGCCAGTCCAATCCGCAACACCGTTTTGTTATTTTGCTTGCTTGACTTGTCAAGGTCTGCGTAGAAGTGTAGTTTTTCGTTCCTTTAGACCGACAAAGGCTTAATTAAGTTATATAATAAGGGTGGCGATGTGGGATAATTGATTCATACCCACGTAGTTCATTCAGTAAAATTAACACGGCGCGCTTATCTTGTGTACTCCCTACATGCCTTGCACATGACGTCACGCTAGGGAAGGAAGGGGCCCCGCGCCATGCTGGTGGTTGACTGGTTGACTTCACACCGCGCGGACGCGTTTACCAAGGTGTAGGATGCCGCTACCTGGCCGGACACGCGCTGGCATGCAGCATATTTTCAACAAAGGTACCCAGTCTTTTACATGTTAACTTGGAAAAACGTGTTGATCCTTACAATGATGACGTTCGTTACAGTACGTGTGGAATTTTTCGGTGTTGGTTGCAATTGTGCTACAAGCAGAAAGTTTCTATATGCCGCGGTGAAGAAATTTTGACGCGAAGGGCTGTTGTTTTGGCAAAGAAAAGCTTTATTGCGCAAAACAAAATTTGATGAGTGGCTCTAGGAGATGCTTGTAGCAAAATTGTTACGATTTTGTGAAGTAGTAGTAAACAACGCATCACCATCACACTCTAAAACCAGAGACATAAGAAATAAAATAACGGATAAGACGACTCAATGCTTCAGGATTTGTATTATAATCTTTCGTAACCAGCTCGCCTGAATACTTTAGCTCCCTGCAAAAGTTACCATGCCGCGGACGGCACGAGCAACGTCTCGGCAAGCGTGCACATGGGGGCCGCCGCCTGGCCCGACTCTCGGCGTTACACTCGTCCGTAGTAATAATTCGCTCGATAATTCGCTCGAAGCGTGGAAAAGGAGTGATGAAACAAAAGGCAAAGGGCACCTATGTCACAAACGGACGAAGCAGATGCAAAGGCGTGCAGGAACGTAAACAGCGGTAGAAAAGTGCCGTCACCCGCTGCCATGAAATGCGTTTTGCAAACTCAGTAATGTGCAGTCGCATCCCTTCCTTGCCACTCATACTTTCTCTTACTTGACGGCTACTCTGTCGCGGGGCATGCCGAACGATCGACGGGATGCGTAGCAATTGCTGTGTGGCACAGTTTTCCATGGCTCTCGCTGCGAGTTGCCGCTGGCTAAACCACCAGCATGGTCGTTACCGGTGTTCGACGTCATCATTTGACGTAGGTACAAGGCATGTATCTGTTTTTTGTGTGCCGCGTTGATTATACTAATTAAAGTATTGGCGGCGTGTGTAAACTACAAAGGCAGAGCCATATATTCGGAGAGCTTGGCCAGTCTGTGATGTCGCCGCCGTAATGCCCCCCTCCAGTCAGCCAATCAGCCCACTTTGTAGAGTGGGAGGCACCAGTGCATGCGCGTAAACTCCACGAGCTCCCAGCTGCCCACAGCGGAGCAGGGAGGGCTGCCATTTTCATTCAATTGCCTAGTGGAATGCAAGGGATCAACATCCAAATTTCGGTTCTTTCCTTTTATTTGGCAGGCTCTGGTAAGAAAATTATATAGTGTTATTCCTCGGTGGCTTAAAAAGCTAAAGATTGAAGTTTCTCCCCGTTTGAACGCAAACTTTTATTCAGGTGAAAAAGAAATAAGCCCATAGCAGACGACACGAAGCCTCAACAGTGCTCTGCGCCGACGGCGTGTTGCATCAAAATGGCAGTCATCTCCTCTTTGCTCCCTTCCTCTCTCTCTTCTTCGGCGCTCCCCTCCCTTTCCTTCACTTTTCTCCACTCCGGCGCCTTCGTCGCCACACCCACTGGCCAGACTCTCTCAATATAGACACTTTCAGGCGGTTTTTGCATGGGCACCACCATAACCACTTCAGTTTTTGTTTCCACTTGTTCCCTTCACTTCCTAATTATCGCAGCAGGAGAGGTTATTGCCACTATAACTGCTACTGTGTCTTTCTCCCCAGCATAGGCCTTTGCGGAGGCTTGTCAACGCCCGCTTCAGTGGCGCGGCATCTCGGTAAGACAGGAGAAAGTTGGCAATAGTGGCGCAACTTGGCGCGTGTTTAAAGTGTCTATACCGCTCTGTACAGGGGGGTGCTTCTCTAGCTATCATCATCATCATTTTTGACATCACAGGTAGGATAAACTGGGACATACCACACAGATCTTGTATTCCAAGGCCCACCAGCTCGCTTCATGCACCGTTTGGGCAATGCACGGCAAAGCGTTTCATGTTTTTTTTGTGAATTGATATTTGTAGTAGAACATTTACCAAAGTTTGAAACCGCACATTGCACACATAGTCGTGCCAACAACCACTTTTGGCGCTTAGGTGTCGAAGCGCTCGGATGGTGGTGTGCTGTTCTCTACCCCGAGTGCAAAAAGCTCGATGATGAAAATTGAATACCCAGCACATTATTCCACTACATCATCTCCCACGCCGAATAGGGTTTATTCTTTTTATTATGATTTGGACAAAATAAAACTAAGAAAGGAATGTCTTATCGAATTGAAAATAGAAAAGCAATATTCGAGAACCTCTTTGTGTGTGAGGTAAATACTTCAGTCAAAGCGAGTTTGTGTACTATCTGGTTGGTTCCAATGTGTTCTGCAAGTGGTGCTCTCTTATTAGTTCCGAGTTGATTCCTTTTTTTAATTTTGTAAACCAGTAAACAAACATATTCTCAAAATAGCTGCAGGAAGAAGCGGTGTCTGAATTCCGGAGTCATTTCAACTAAATCGCTGTTTATTCACTGGGTTAACGAGAAACTTTCGATACCCTTGCAATCCAAGTCCTGAATTTAGTAAGTCAGTGACACGTCAGCGTCCCAAAAAATGAGGAATATACCTGCTATGGATTACTACTGTTTGTTTGCTTAATTTTAACAGACCCAAATGTGCATAATGCGTGATGCGCTTCTCAGCCGAGCGATTTTAAATTTGTAAACAATTCTAAGCAAAAATATGATAGAACAAATTAATCAATCGCCTGATTTTTTCGGACGATAACCGACAATCTAAGAATTTATGAAAATTTCTGCTTTCCTTTTGAGCATAAGTCGCCATGTGACAAACTTTTTTGCCACGTATTCAATTAGGGAGGAGCTAAGCATCAGTTGCTGACGAGCATTCGCTCGCCAGCAACTGTTGAGTCACACTTGTATAGAAGCGTCGGTATCGGCAAGCTTAATGTAGCTAAAACAAGTGTGCGGCCCTTTGCAACACAACTGTGCACACTTGCACAGCTAAGAAGACAGCACGTCGTTTACTCTGGGGAATGAAAACCCTTTTTCTACAGCAGCCTCCCAGATATGAAAAGAAGAATCGAAGAGGTTGTAAATAGTCCCAACGTACGCCGCGCAAGCTGTAATGTGAAGCTCCAGGCTTGTTTTTGAAAAAGTGAACAGTCAGCTAGAACGGTAAGGACAAAACACAGACGGGAAGAAACGGAGACATACACACTGCTGACTATCAACTGAGACTTTATACTTCATCTTCATCACTTTGACCCAAAGATTCATACCTAAAGTAATGCCAATAAATCACCCTAAATACTTACGTTACACTACTAAATTCACTTTTGCATTATGTACCAAGATCACTCACAAAAATGTTTACTCATTTCTTTAATAAATGAACCGTTTTTAATCACCATAGATGCAAACTAACATAGCCACCCCGTGCTTTGAAATAGTGAGTCATCTGCTCGCATCCTACCAGCTGCACCACAGGAGGGCACCTGCGAGGTGGCGCCACCTATGCATCTCGTCACCAATAGAGTCGATTTTACATGATGTGCACGCAGGCTTCGAAAGCCACAGGCACGAGCACGGACTAACCAAGCTACTGGGAGGGGTGGTTGCTACCTACAGCAAGTTGGAATTTACCTCTCTGCGGGTGACTTCCTTTTGTTCTAAGTTTATACACGCTGTTGTTTTTATATCTTTTTACAAAATTGCAGCACGACAACGAAGATTGCGGACATCCAAGCTAAACATTACACAAATTACATTATCTCGACAAACTGTTTGTAACACTTCAAACTTTAATGACATTAATGCTGCAACTACTTCATCACACCTTTTAGGGAAATCACAAGATGCAATGCCACTACACAAGTAATATATAATTGCCAGCCATTTTGTCACTTCAAGGTTTCCCTCTCGGTACCTGCTGTACCATCTTGAACTTTTAATGCCTTCCTTTGCCTTGCTTTTCTACTGCAGATTAGAGGATTCGATCTGTGCACAGCAAAACAGAACACATGCAAGGACAGCGTCAGCTTGTGGTGAAAACCCAGACTGAGATCCTTTGTTTGTCCGAAAACAAATTTTTTATTCCATAGTGAATACATACACAACTGAGTTCTCTTTACTCAAAGTCTTAATGGCTGTGTCTACAAGAATGTCACCATAGCACATCGCATCGACGGGGAGACGAATTGCATTCAGCCAGCCCTTTCATCCTGATCTACCCAATCATAGCCGCCGCTTCTTGATTTAATGTGTATGGTTGCATCCATGTAAAATAACCATCTCGGCATGAAAAGCCAACAAACTGAAAAGAGCAGACTGGAAATAAAGAGCTGTGGTTGCGTTAAGAGGTTGCGTTTATCCTCTTTTTCGATTTCCTTGTTCTAAACGTTTTTTAGTGCGACAGAAGCCTACCATATTGAACCCCCTTTTCATTTTGTTTCCCCACTCTTGGGGAGCCCCACGGTGCCTTTATATCAGATCACTTACTCTACAGTTGCTTGCTCACTCTCTCTAGAGTCATTTTACTTATTGACTGTTCTTTTGAAGTCAAGCAAAGTCGAACATATGCTGAAACTGTGCCATAATTGAATACTTCTTTTCCCGAAAAATCTCGAAGCCACCCTAGAAATAGAGCAAAATAATAAAAAGGATCTATAGTTACCGCTAGAAGGACACGAGGTGGCCTTTTAATCTACTGCTGGCTATACTCCGCGACAACTTTTCTTGGCAATGCAGTGGAAGGTACAGGCCCGCGTTCCCTCTCCCATTTTGAGTGTACGAAGGCTCTCCTCCTCCCCCATTTCCGGGGAGAGGAGGAGAGCCCGCGCACACTCAAAATGGGAGAGGGGATGCGGGCCTGTACCTTCCACATCATTGCCAAGAAAAGTTGTCGCGGAGTATAGTTCTGATGGTGCTTGGGCATCTTACAAGCTTCCAAGATTAAATATGCTCAAAGAAACAGGGCACCGCAGAAGCCAGAAAACTAATTAAGGTTTGGATATCCAAAAGACAACAACAACACTTTGCTCTTTATATACCGAGTGTTTGGGAGAAAAGTAAAAGTGTTTTTTTTTTTTCATTGCAAAAAACAAAACAAAACAAAAAAACTATGCATTGCCCCATGCTCGGACCCTACCCAAATGTAGCGCTAGCAGTACAGATCAGATGCCAGAGTAGTGGTTGCTGTCACCCAATTGAAACGTTATAAGCGATTTTCTAAAATTTTTACGAGAAAAACAAAGCCTGAAAATACGTGGAGATGAATGGCGTCCGCTGCCAAGAATGTGCCCCATTTGTAATTGAAAATTTTCGAAAATTGCTCGCAACTTTTAAGTCAAACAAACAAAAAGCTCCAAAATTTTGGTACCTGATCTCAACCGATAGAACTAAATTTTGGGAGAGACTGAGCATTTGGAAATGCATGGTTCATTTCTGCAGTGAGAAAAACCCAGTTCTCTTTTCTCTCAAACCGCCAGTATGTCACAGACCTTCCCAGGAATACAGTATGGCCACTTTAATCGCTGCCATCATTGGAGGCCATGGTGTGCATGCCATACTAGTGGCGGCATTCTGGAAACTGATGGCTGAAGGCTGATCCAAGCGGACGACTCGAGGCCAGTGCATTTGAGACGTTGGAACTCACAACATACGAATCGGATTAGAGCACCGTGTCAATGCTTGTATCCAATGGAGGTAGAATCAGTGAGAACAGTTTGAGCATGCCCAGTGCTGCTTTAAACATTTATAGGAGCCAGCACGCTTTTAACAGTGCCCTGGCCCTTCGGTTGTACTGTGTTTAAATTTTGTTTTTGTAACTTTGCATATATTAGTATTTAGGGTGCGACTGTTTGTGGACACTAAATAAATAAACAGATGGATCCATTGGCACATACTCAGGTTGACAACTCGTACAGACTGGTTTAATTTTTGCCACCGTCGGAATTGGAAACTAATAAAAGATGTATTCCTGTTGGCCGGTGATGTTCGACGAAAGGCTATGTTTTTCACAGCCCCCTTTAGTATGGCTAAAGCTACAACGGAAAGGCTGGCTCACACATTTGCGTTGGAAAGTACTCGAGTGCTCCGCGTTTTCTTTTAACCGCTTACGATGAGAAAACAGACTGGCGCATCGGTGCCAGCCATCAAGCGGCCCTGGAACCGCATATAACTGAACTGAAGGTTTTGCAGTGTTTGCGAGACCAAATTGACGCACTACCTGCGAGAGGTCGCTTATACCATTGTCAGAACTATTTCGAGTCCCCAATAAAAAAAAAAAAAGTATGAATAAAAAAATGTAAATATATATGCGGACTGAGACCGTTTAGGGCTACCTGATGTACCATTCCGTTCTGTCGCCATAAGCAGTTACAAGGGAACGCAATTCGCTCCGACGCACTCAAATGCAAATGTGTGAGCCTGCCTTATTTTGAGCCACTAGATGGCGCTAAACTGTGGAAAAGGTCCGTTTGCGACCGTTGATTCACGACAACGGACTGACACCTTTTTTTGAAACAGTCCGCGATAATGCAGCAGTCCTCCTAACTTGTTTGCAAAGGATCGCAGCCTCCCGTGATGTGTGCCGCCATGTGCATGACCAGCTGGCGCTTCCTGGCGAACGCTTTGGCGCACACGTCGCACCGGTACGGCCGCTCGCCGGTGTGCGTCCGAATGTGCATCGTCAGCGTGTGGCGCTGAACGAAGCTCCGCGGGCACAGGTGGCACCTGGGAATGTCGGTATGGTTTAGACTCGCGTCGCCGCAAAAGAAACTCTGTCCAAATTTCGAGCTAAAATGTTTGTTTCGTGCCAGGTTCGTCAAAATGTCTGGCGCCGGAGAAAATCGACAATCTGCGTCGAGTCCTCAAACTCTTTTTGTTCGCATTCCACTCGTTCCAAAGCGGGTCGAAAGAGCCCTAGCACGCACCCAATAATGCCACACTGCACCGTCTTCTTCGTGACAAAAGTCCCTTTGCTATGGTCGCCGTCACCATGGCAACTAAGCATCTGCTGGATGGGTGCACACGCTTCGCTGCCACGGTGACGATGACGGATTTTACCGTGCGCAAGGAGACAAGAGAGTTTATTGTGCGGAAGGAGACGGCTGTGTGGCGAGGTCAGGTGTGTGCTTAGGCTCTTCCGCCGTGCTATTCGATGGGCGTTACGTGGACAGTGTGTTTGAAAAATTGACCGTAAAGAAACGCCAACATCCCCCAAACATTTTTTTATATTTTTTGCTCCGCGATATAATGATGTATCAGGAGATTATCCAATCAATACTTTGCTAAAGAGCCACACATATTTTTAATAAAGCCAAAACACTCAACTGCTCGAAACCGAAACATGTGCACGGAGGCTCGGAGAAGAGAGTTACTGGAAGTCGCGTGGCTATCACCCTACCCAGTTTTTTTCCATTCCTCCACTTCTCGGGCGTGTGAAGCAGACGACGACAACGACCAGGACGTTTCTGAACCGTTTGTCGTGCGATTATTTTGCACTCAATACCTATTCCCCTTGCTGTTCTGCGTTTGAAGATCAATTGACCAGTACCACAAACCACAATTCCGAAGTAGCGGTCTCAGTTTGTCGCAACGTCAGTCCATCGCGCGCCATTACGCGCCATTATCGCGCCGCAGTTTGCCTCCGTGATCTGAGCAACAATTTTTTTCAATCGATCAATGTATCAGTCCTCCTAATACATTGATCGGAAGCCACAAAAAATGGGGTTCAAATTCCTTTATAGTTTTAATACTGATAATGAACCTTAGATGACCCACAACTCTAAATATATTTGGTAGGCATCAGTTTGAACGGCACGTGACCATGGAAAAGAGAGGGAGCGAGCTGAAACCAGCCGATTCTCGACAGGCAGCTTTTGGGTGGAAAGAACACAAATTTCGAGCCGCAAATTGTGTTCTGGGTAGTTGGGCTCTCGCAGGTCATGTTCAAATAAAAACATCAGCAGGCATAAGTACCCTGTCAGTGTCCCTTTAACACAGATGACAGATTCTCTACAGCGCTAAATATTTTGACGAAAACTACACAAAAAGCATGTTTTTACGACCATCCGGCGGCAGTTTATTTTACAGGGGGACACGGGTCCAGAGTATAAAACTGCCGGCACCTGTACGGTCGCTCTCCCGTGTGGGTCCTGAAGTGGATCATCAGGATCTGGCTGCGGCTGAACGCCTTGTGGCAGACGCAGCACTCAAAGGGACGCTCCCCGGTGTGAGCGCGCATGTGCGTTGTGAGGCTGCTCCGCTCGGAGTATGCCATCGGGCAGAGCGAGCACCTGAAGGGTTTTTCACCCGTGTGCATCCGCACATGGCTGAGCAGACGGCCCCTCTGGAGGAAGACGGCGGGGCAGTGCTGGCAGCGTAACAGCGGCCGCTCGTCGCTGCGGGGAGCGCCCTGGATCGCGGCGACGTGAAACCCCCGCGTGTTGTAGCGGGCGTCAACTGGGTAGAAGAAAACGGGTTTCGGATTATGGGCGAGGTTTTTTTTGCAGGATTCTACAGTCAGTGATCTAGATACTGGATCCGTGAAATGTCAACCCACTAAATTCTTGATCCTGAAACAAGCTCTGTATTCGACGACGATTTCGGCTCGTAATTTCGAATGAAATCTGCTTCTGGCAACAATTTTCAACTGTACGCAACTTGCAGGGTGCAAGCTTGCGTGGAGAAAGGCATATTGTGAAATATTAAGTAGCGAAATAATAAAGGGTGGTTCAAGTCACCAGGCTCGATCTAAAATGGACCGTAAAAATCGACGTTTGCACGTAGCCATCTAAACTTTTCGTCAAAGGTGTACTTCACAGGTATGTTTTCTCCTGCAAAATTACAAAGCATAGTTTTCTTTTAGTAAAAAATAGGGCCAAGAAACTTGCCAGGGTCTACGGTGGGCTCCGACTCAGATGACCAAGTCCCGTAGCGGGGTGTGTTTGATGTTCCTATTGATAGATGGCATCGGGAGCAGCGTTTGAAGGTGCAGCCGACCAGCGAAATATAGCAGACGACACGCAGGCGAAATCCTTTGGCAGCAAAAGCGCCGCCGTTCAGACGCGTTTTTTTACTTTAAGTTTTGCTTTTATTGTTCAGATTTATTTTTTAACCGAAGTGACATTTCAAAAAGATTATATTCATTTTAATAAACCACAGTGGTCGCAAGCTGTCGCGATAAGGAGGTAGCACCATCTATCAATACGAATGCCAAACACCCCCCGCTACTGGGCCTTTTGTCGTCTGCGTTACTGCCCGCCGTAGACCCTGGCAAGTTTCTTGGCCTTATTATTTACAGAAAGAAAGCTATGCTTTGTAATTTTACAAAACAAAAACCGACCTGTGAATTACGCCTTTGAGGAAAATTTTAGGTTGCTACTTGCAGGCGTCGATTTTTACGGTCCATTTTAGATCGAGCCTGGCGACTTGGACCACCCTATACATTGGGCTATGGAGCCATTAAGGACAATTGCAACGTTGTGTTTGCAAGACACTTCGAAAAGTGACTGTTTGAAAAATGTACTAAATATTAGACCAGCTGTGAAATATTTCACGATTTAATACACTGAAGTTCGCAGCACATGCTGGCCCCTTGGCTCACATTTTAAATTGGAAGAGTTACAAAGAAGAATCTGAAGACACCATTATTTGCTAGTTTTCAAGCAGAAATCAAGCTTCATTTAATTCCCCGTCCCAACCCTTGAGGCAATAAATGCGAACACTTCTAGTGTAAAGAAACTGTATTTGCAAGTAAAGAAAGATAAGTACAACACTATAGGAGAGCGAAAACTTTTTTCATTCCCAATCAAGAAACTGAGTTGCAACCAGAAGACATGTTAAAAGAGAAATCTGGTCAACACCGAAACAAGCTGATTATAAACAATATCAAACGAAGCCCCAGCCTAGTGTTTGAGGCAATATTGGTTGCAAAGAAAAACTACACAAAAGGAGCAAATTTCTCGTCCTTCGTGGGTGGAAATAAATAGATATAGGTACTCATATAGACAGTGAATCATTTTTGCAGAATTCGCTGCAAGCAGTAGGGATATAGATTACATCCATATCCCTACTGCATACCTGCCAAGTTCGGAGAAACCAAATCTGGGAGAATTTCTAAACCGGGGGGGGGGGGGGGGGGGGGGGAGGGGGGCTTGTAGTTTTTAAAAATAAATGTTGATAATAAATTTACATGAAGGAAACTTCGTTACTTTTATATTGCATTGCTCATGCTAGCGAGACACGGCTGGGCCCCTTGTCGTTGCGGCCGTTTGTTGCAATAGCAAAGACCCCTTGTCTAAGTGCAAGGAGGGGGGGGGGAAACGAAAATAAACAGCGCGCAGAAAATACACAGGACGAAAGGAAGGTGTGAATGACACAAGCGCTGATATAATGCAATTAAATGCAAAGGTGCAAGCGAGCTGGACAAGAATGACGAAAGTAATCCCTGGAGAAGGGGAACAAGAGGGACAAAGGACACACATAAATCTCCAAACACAGCTAGGTGACTGGTGAGCGACCGAAAAAATCCGCCTGGTCCGGGTATCGAACCCGGGACCTCTCCATTACAAGTGGAGCGCTCTACCAACTGAGCTAACCAGGGGTCCGGGTATCGAACCCGGGACCTCTCCATTACAAGTGGAGCGCTCTACCAACTGAGCTAAACACCTTCCTTTCGTCCTGTGTATTTTTTGCGCGCTGTTTATTTCCGTTACCATGAACCAACTCGCCTACATCACGACACTAATCCAGGGGGGGGAATTTGGGTTTTCCGGGAAATTTTTCTCGGGAGTCTCTCGGGTAATACGAAAGACTTGGCAGGTATGCTTCTGTTTCACTACATCAATATAAACTGCACAGGATGAAAGTTTCCAAAAGGCAAACATCTTTGTATGCTATAAATGTGACTATCAACAACTAGAAAGGATCCAGGAGTACACCTTTCCAATTCCAAAGTTTCACACCGGTTTCCACATGCTTGCACCTTTACCAATATTGTCTTTTGCAATAAATAAACAATGACATCTTACACTTGGGTCATAGAGCCCATCCGAAAAAGTCACAAAAAGCCGTAACAGCTTCAACTCCGCCGAGTGCAAGTTTTGGTTGCCCGAAAAGAGGCAATTCTCTTCACACTTTCGATGGATAAGCCCATCCGAATCCGCGCGTGGAACCTACAGAAGAAGGGAACCCACCCACAACTTCGGACACACCACATTCTTCCCAGAGCAGTCTCCATGCAATGCAACCCGCTAACAGGTGCCAACCAGCGTCGTTTCGAAAGGTTTGTCCCATATCCCATTTTCACGCCAACTCAACAAGCAGCAAAAGCTATGACCCCGGCGAGCCAATTGCAGCATCAGAGTGGAGTTCGCGGCAGCGTATCGTTGGAGTGCACTCCTCTCGCAGAAATCTGCTACGTGCTCTGCTCCGTCACCGATTGGCTTGACGCAGAACACGAGTAGCAGTGTCGAGGTGTGCTCAAGTGCACCGTGCTCGCTCATAGCTGCGTACGACGAGAGAACACAGTCGCACACTGACGTAATCCATTTGGTAGTCCTGGCACACTTCAAACCTGTCTGCCACAATATTCCAAGGGATGCCCCATCGCCGAAAAATAGCCCACTCCCTATTTTCGGCACAATTTGCTGTTTTTTGAACACCGAAAGATAGCCCACTTCTAGTGATTGCGGGGCCTTGGTTAATGGTGACCTTGGCAAAAACGGTTTTACCTAACCACAGCGGGAGATAAGCGAACATTACTGACCGGGAAGGACAGTTGTCTTTGGTTCCGCCCCTCCTGCGTTCACAAGTTTCGAGGGTCGCATAATCCAAAACTAGCATTTTTAAACTTTTTTTTTTTTAAGGCAGATTGAAAGTTAGCTTGCCCATTATTTTCATCCAATTGCTATAAATTTTAGGTGGGCTAACTCTCGGCATATTTTTCTTATAATTTTTTATGCACCATTATATCTCCGTGGCATCGATGAAATTCGGACATGTTATGGGCAACCATTTCTCATACATGGTGCATAGATTTATTTGATCACACAAATAACGAGACATCTTGCTTCGGGGCGAAGGGAAAAGGGCGAGCCGAGAGACACTAGACCTTCGGTCTAGTTGTCTGCAGGTCGGAAGCGCTCCGCAGTGACCCGATGGATGCCACCGGCAAGCTCTCATCGTAAGCGTTAACGAGCGAGTGTGGCACGCTCAAACGCCAGTGTGTGAACCGGTCCGAACTCACCAGAACCCACCTCGGACCTCGGTGCGACACTGGGCAAACTCAAACGCCGCGACAGAGGGACTCCCCCCCCCCTTTCAGCCCGTGTGAGTAACCGCGTGAGCGTCGAGCTCGGATCGCTCGCGGAACGACAGCCGGCAGCGGGAGCAGAGGTGGGGCCTGTCGCCCTCGTGGCGCCGGCAGTGGACCACCAGGTGCGAGCTGGCGGTGAACGTCATCGGGCACAGCTTGCACTTGTAGGGCCGGTCGCCCGTGTGGATCCGTTCGTGAATCACCCAGTCCGCCTTGGTGGTGAACGCCTTGGGGCAGTAGTTGCACTTGAAAGGTTTCTCGCCCGAGTGGTACTTGAGGTGCGTCATCAGGTTGCCCCGCTGGGTGAAGGCCTTGGGACATAGGTGGCACTGGTGCGGCCGTTCGCCCGAGTGGATGCGCTGGTGGCGGACCATCAGGCTCTTGTCCTTGGTCTTGTACTTGCACAGGGTGCACCGGACTGCGGCGTCCTCGGTGCGAGCCTCCGTGGAAAAGGGCGCGTGTTGTGGAGCTGCGGGGAAGAAGATGCGTCGCTCGGTGGGTTGTGGAACGCTGCGACTCGGGTTCAAAAGTGTCCAGTCTTGGACGCAAACGTTCGGCGCTCGCAACTTTTGTACGCGCCTCGAAGAAGGGTGCGGCGGGGGTGGGGACATTACTGCCATTGGAAAATATGCAGAGGTCATTTTCTTATCCTCGACTATCTCACATGAAAGTGCAGATCCCAAGTAGCACGTATCGCAAAATGTTTCTGCGAGTACGCAACTTCGTAACTATGCTTCAACTAAAGTTCAGACCACACTGCCTACGGTAATGATTCATTATATCGAAATACCCGATTTTGGGAAGGTTGCTCTGGAAACGTAAAAAACAATACTCATTTTTACCTCAAAAACCTTGTTTAGCTCCTTGCAGAGTGTTACAAATTTCTCTTTTTACTTAGAGAATTAAGATACATGCATGCACATTTAAGATCAGTGTTTTGTTTATATAACCAAAATTCACACTTCTTGAATGCAAAAGGCATACTTTTTGTCTGTCAACCAAGTCTTGTAAGAACTGTTTTGTGCAGCACACAAACTTTGTGCAAAACATGCTTTCTCTTCTTGAGATGCTACCAAGTGTAGGGCCTTTCGAAGCGTAACAGGCTATCTAAACTCTGTCTCTTCTGTCCTTATGAATATACAGGCTATCAACAAAACCCTGTCTTCTGTTGCTACATTGCACACTTTTCCAATACACATTTGATGAAACTCGCCTCGACCGTTTCCTAAGCTAGGCACAGACTGCTTCTAGTCTAGTATACAGCGCAACTCAAGAATGAACATTCACACATATTTCACCTCTACCACAAGGTTTCTGCTTTGGCAACCTCAGCTGCATGCTTCACAATGGACAAGTTAGTTACAATAGGTGCAAAAGGGCTCTTCCGAGCACACCAAATGCTGCAAAAGAGCTTTAGAATCTTCACACAAGGTGTATATAATAGCCACAGACACTGCAGAACAAACTACCTCAACGTCCTCCGTTATTGCAGCTAATCCCCTCGACTGTGGAACTCCTGTCGGACTTGGTTGGAAAGGTCTCACGGAACACACCTATCGTGGTAAATTGACATGTCACACAGCTGCATAAAACGGGCATAAAGACTTCAATTAAAACGACGGGACGATGTAATCTCGGCTGTTCGCGTCCACTTCTAATTCTAAAACGAGTGAGGTGGGTGGTCAACAGCAGCTTCTCAGGGTTCCAACGAGGAAGACTGTTATCGGCAGATATTCTTCCGCAGTGTAGTAAGGCCGCCTGCAAGGCAAATTGCCACTTTTAAAACTTGAGCCCACAATGCCAAAAAATGTACCAAATTACCACACAAATTTTTTTTTTTTTCAAGCATGGCAACATTTTTTGAGGCAAGCACTACAAAAAGCTAAAGTTTGTTTTGTTCTCCTGTGGAAACTGCAACTCCTGAAGTAAAATGATTTATACTGGGAGGTTGAAGCACACTGGAGGCTTCTGTGGCAACATATAAAAATAGGCTGTAGGTAAGTTACAGTTGGCCTTTGCTTACTCTGGCTCCTACATTCCCTTACCTTGCTCCCAGGGTTACAACGTAACAATGCGCTTCGAGACTGCAGATCCCATCTGCCCTGCTCGCAGCTTGTGGAAGTCTTGGACAAGCCAGAAGAGTAGCACAGCTGTCCAGCACCTTTCTCTGAAAAGGTGCCCATGGCTGGACAACGAAACTGCTAAGGGTTTGTCTGTGGGTTGGTGTCCCAAACAAGATATGACTAGGGTTCCATGTTTTTGGAGTTTATTTTTCGTCAAATTGAGAGGGTGTTTTCCGGAGCTAATTTTTTGCCAAAATTCTGAGTTTATTTTTGTATGATTCCCAATTCTCCAAAATTCAGTTTAATTTCGCAGTGTTTCATATTAAAAATAAATAAATTATATAAAACGTAAATGTATGCTAGACACACAAAAAAAAAAAACGCGATTGCATATATTTTTATTTTTTACAGTAGTACTTGGTGTTGGTGCCATTACTACTGGCAATACTAATTAGTCCTACAACAAAATTGCACACAAGTGATGCTTCGATAAATGCTGATACCTTAAAAAGGCCCTGCAAGGACGTTTTTACTGGTTTTTAATTTCTACCGAACCTGAGCGCACTGAACGTACTTACTTAATGAAACTTTTTTTTTTTTTTTGAGTTTCGCTTTATTTTAAACGGTATAGGCAAATTAAAATTAAAAAAAACGAGCAAGAAATGACCTCCTTCATGACGTCCTTGCTCGCCTGAGTGGCCATGATCTAGAGGAAGGGTAGTGACGGCTCGAGATGGCGCTACTAAAGCATGTTCTGGATAGGCTGTATGAAGCGGGCAGCCAGGGCGGCTCGCATTGCATTTGCTGAGCGATTAAACACTAATTTGGCATGACACTTCATTGGCCACGAACGACAGCAAACACAGGGTAAAGATCAGTTCAGAACAAGAGGCACTTCGCGTTGCCATACCGCCAATCGGCCAAACCGCAAGCCAAACCTTCTTGCCGAAGGCCTTCAGAACGCTCGGATCCTCGAGCCCGTATACGACCACAGCGCCGCCGCATACATTCGGGACCTTTCTCCTACGGAAACATCCGCCCCTTAAGTGGAAGATGTTTCCGTGTCATCCAGTTTAAATATGACGCACTGATATTTAGTTACTCTCTCCGTGCTCGCTGGCTTGCCCGAACCCCATGAGACGTGGAAACCGCAAAAAGGTAGACATTAAAGGGAAGCTACGGAGGTTCTTGAAAAATGAGTTAGAAGTGAATTCTAGTGTATTTTTATCCCGTGAACCCGAATACCCACACCATTTGCTGCGCAAGTATTGTTTAAACGCTAAAAAACGCGAAAGACAGTCGCTGTTTGCGATGTCATCGACGGATTATTTGGCTGCCCAAGGCTAGGGAGGTGGGGCTTCAGCCCTATTTTGAAACTGCTCTTACGGCTCTCCGGCGCGTCGCATTGAAATATAATTATGATATCTGTTATTCTAAAGGCGAAATGAACGCAATTCAAGCGTTTTTCCTCAAATGTAGAAGTGCCCCATCTTCCCTTTAAATATGATTGCAGGGCCACTTTAAAATCAATAAACTCCCGGAGGTAGTTGCTGGGAAGCTTGTATTCATTCTATATTATTCTATCAACCACCTTTGCGGCCGCGCGAGGTAGAGTGGTAAAGCATGTAATAGAGAAGTTTCAACTGTCCCTCTCCCCCACTTTATGCAATCTCTATGGTCCATAGCTTTCACTGTTACAAAAACACAACCTCTCCTTCCTCTAAAGCACAAATAGTATGACCCAAACTGGAAACATAAACCGTGACTCGTGACTCGAAAGTACAATGACCTGCTGTCCTGACCGTAATTTGAAACAAAAGTGCGGTGGAATTTTCCCAGGGCCATAGACTCTACGCACTGATCAAACCATTAATTTTAAAATACTTGTATGTGTTTGTGTAGGAAAAAAAAAGGGGGGGGGGGGGGGTGGTTGGCATATTGAAATTCAGAGTTTATCGCTGTTTTTCCGATCTATCCGAAAACACGGAACCCTAGATATGACTGATGTTACACAGGCGTGCGAAAACTGAGCAACACGCTTTACTTCGAATATATGACTGATGTTACACAGGCGTGCGAAAACTGAGCAACACGCTTTACTTCGAAACAGCGTGTCATGCACCAAACTTTGAAATGCTGAGCTGCATAAAGTTAGCGCAGATCACAAAGCTGTGTGGAGGCATGAGCCAAGTCAATGCTTTTTACGAACCTTCAGGATCAGCGAGGGCAAGGCAGGGATCCTAAAGAGAGGAGTAAAACACGGAGTAGCGGAACGCGCAGAGGATTTGGCCCTCGCACTCAACGAGTGAGCTCCCAAATGGGTAATCCAACCATAAATTCGGAACATAAAAAAAAAAAAAAAAAAAACACACACACACACACACAAAATATCAAACGATTCTTCACACAGAGATCACGAAAAGTGCAGTGACAGCAAGTGTTCGTTACTTGCGTGATAGCTTATTTCCCTGGAGATAAATTCTTCATGTCCCTGACTGTCGGGTGACTGGACGCTGAAAACAACGATAGTCCATCACCAGTAGCGTTGGGAACGGCTTGAGAATCAAGAAATAAAAAGAACCTGACACACACACAGTCTCGTCGAAGCGTTTTGTTCGGTTGTCCCTATTCGCACTCCGAGTGCGGATAGTGGTGGATTCTAATCCACACTCCGAGTGTGGATTAGAATCCACAACTATCCGCACTCCTGGTGTCGCGAACTTTTGTCAAACCGGATTTTTAGGTCGAACTTTCGGGGTTTGACTGGGTCGAACCGGTTCGACAAACCTTCGAACTTTTCACCCTCCAGTAGCACCAGTAGTATGGTGCCTAGATCGCGTCTTTGACTGGTGTGTTTAGCGTCCTATCCCCCCAATATATCAAAAGTGGTCCCCAAGTGGCAACAAATGACGTCACAAAAACCGGAGTGTCATGTTGTTGCCTGTCGCGATCCAGGTGGTTGGGCTGGTTGGGCGTAGAAATGCTGGCGAAAAGCACGAGCAAACGCGAGTGTCGCTGTCAGTGGTCGCTGTCATCACGGCGTCCCACTGTACCAGGCGTCCCAGCTTCCGGCTGCTGTGTCTTCCGTGTAGGGGTGTCGCGGAGTATAGTTGGTTTTGCATCATTGGGTAATACGCCAAAACAACAGGGACAAAAAACGAAGGGAGAACTAGACAGGACGCCGCGTCCTGTCTAGTTCTCCTTCGTTTTTTGTCCCTGTTGTTTTGGCGTATTACCCCATGATGCAAAACCAACTATCCTCCGCGACAACTTTTCTTGGCAATGCAGTGGAAGGTACAGGTCCGCGTCCCCTCTCCCATTTTGAGTGTGCGCGGGCAGGAGAGCCTGCGTGCACTCAAAATGAGAGAGGGGACGCGGGCCTGTACCTTCCACTGCATTGCCAAGAAAAGTTGTCTAGCCATGGTCGAACTTTCGGGTTTCGACGAACCTTCGACCTTTTCACCAGATTCTATCGGTTCAACTTTGTGGACAGTGTGGCCAGACCTTGATACAAGCATGTCTAGGTTTGGAGAATTTCTTTTTTATGCAAAGGGATATTTTATTTTGTGAACAATTGCAATTAAAAGAAACTAATTCTATTCCCTGAAGAAGTTAATAACTTAAATTTTAGTACTGTATTGACTGAAATAGCCGATCAGCGCTGCACTTAATTCATCTCTTAGCCATTACCATTCAATACGCAGCCAACTGGCCAGCCTGTCGCGCATGCGCACACGAGTCGAACCTCAATACAAGGTTCGACGACCTTTCCAGTAAAAGTTCGAAAAAGTCGAACCTGGTCGAACTCGAACCGCGGCCGGTTCGCGACACCCCTACTTCCGTGGAGTGGACTGTGACTATGGTGCCTGGAACGCGTCTCCGACTGGTGTGTTTACCGCGGCCAAAAAAGTGGTCCCTCGATTTCCGCCTGATGACGTCATAAAAGAGTCATGTTGTCGCCGGTCGCGAACCTGGCGGCGTTGCAATAGTTGTGGTAAAAATAGCAGACGCCTGTTCTGCTGCAGGTCGCTCTCCACTGTGACAGTTCACGGAAGTTGGGCAGCCGGAAGTTGGGACGCCTGGGACGCCGTGACGACAGCGACACTCACATTCGCTCGTGCTTCTCGCCAGCATTTCTATGACCAACCGCCAGGATCGCGACAGGCAACAGCAGGACCATAGAGTTATTCAGTTATTACAATAAACGCTAGAGGCTCAGCTGGCGCTACAGAGCCGTATAGACCAGAGCCGTGTATTGGGAGAGTTTGGCCAGTGGGTGTGGCGACGAAGGCACCGGAGAGGAGAAAAGGAAATGAAAGGGAGGAGAGCGTTGAAGGAGCGAGAGAGAAAGAAAGGAGCGGAGAGGAGACGACCGCCATATTTGAGCAACGCTGTCGGAGGCTGGTCGGAGAAGAGCACTGCTGAGGCTACGCGTCGTCTGCTACGGGCAGACTTCTTTTTCGCCTGAATAAAAGTTTGTGGCCATACGCCGAAAAATCTTCATGTATTAGCTTTTTAACCGACCGAGGAATAACAGAATGTCATTTTCTTGCCAGAGCCAGCGATATAGAAGGCAATAATCGAGATTTAGATGCCGATCCTTCGCATTCCGCCAGGAGAATGATCGAAGATGGCGGCCCTCCCCACTCAGGTGGGAGCAGCCGGGAGTTCGCGCGCATGCGTTCATGCCTCTCGCTCTACGCCGCGTGCTGATTGGCTCACTTGGGAGGAGAGCGTTACGGCGGCGAGATCATAGACTGGCCAACCTCTCCCCATATAGTTTGGCCAATGGGAGGCGCGGGCAGAGCCAGGGCGTGCGGCAGAGTCGGAAAGAGGGCATGGCATGCTCTCTTGACCCAGCCAACCAGAAGCCGAAAAGAATCCCCTAGCGGTGGTAGCGAGAAACAGTTCTGATCAAAGGTCTATGTTCGGATATGGTTTTAATAAGCGCGTAAGAGTGAAGTGTAGTAACTCTTTGTGGTTGAATATAGGGTGCGCGTGTTGTTTTCATCATGATCATGCAGAAAGATGTAAGAAACGAATGCGCCGCTCAACTCTGTTTTGCGCGGACAGAGTGTGATATTTTGTTTCTTTTACAGAAGTATTGCTCGACGTCTAGTTGATTGATTTATATCAGTCTCTACTCTATAAATACGTTATTGAAGAGTTCTTTGAACATCTGTTTCTACTCTAAATATGTTAATGCAGTGTTCCATTACAATTTTTATATCTGTATCACAGTTCGAAGAAAAGTTACCCACGTAAAACCGAAATATCATATCTCTTTGTTCACTCTATATATATATATATATATATATATTTTAGTACAGCTACCACCACCTATAGACCTTTCCAGAAAAGGGCTGCTGGCCGGTTTCATTTTCAGTGTTCGTGCGTATCACGCGTGATTTGCTCGCTTTCGGAAGCGACGCACACGCGCGTGCTGAGCTGTGGAGATCGCACGCTGAGCTGTGGATTTGTGAACATTGGAAAGGTCTATACCTCGCTGTTTTAACCGGTTTGAATCTCGGCCGAGGCTTATTGCGAAGAAAGCGCCGTATAACTGGAATCTCGGTTGCATGCAGTAGGTCCAAAAATTACCACAAATATTTCTCAGTCTTCTGCCGGGCCGTGTTCAAACTGTACTTTACCGCCTTTACTATAGCAGTGCTCGTGCACTTGAAGTGTGAAGCCACGACCGAGAGCGGGTACAAATTACAAAGTGAATCCGAGTCTTAGTCTTACATCAGCGTTCGACAATGACTCGTGTCTAATCCGTGTTTCGGCGGACACTCGGTGCATAATCGACGAGTCGACGCCGTAGTAGCGTAATGATGTTTCGTAAGGGAGACGTAGGTAATAAACAGGATTCGACGAGTCCAGGTGGTGTTCATACAGCGTAATCTGAACACTTTAATTTGACGTTTTTTCGAGTGTCCAACTTGTGGAAATATTTACATTTGAACTTTTCCAGGGTATATACTGGTAGTTTAGTGGTCGGATATTAAAACTGAATGTGTGGAAAATGTTAGAAAGAAGGTCCTGTCGGTGCCCCTGCAAACGACACCGCTATTTTAGAGTCCCATAAATTGCCGGAACAGTATAGAAAGAGAGAACAGTGCAATTTATTAGAAACGAAAGAAGGGGTCCACCGTGCACATCAGTACTGATTTGATGATTAGATGAGTCAATTCAGGGACGTTCAGTACGCCTGCTTGTATGAAGGCTTCTTGGAGGCCGTTTCATTCACATAATGCGATCCTTCCAAGAAAAAACGAGTAAACTGACCTTGTAAAATTTTTCTTCGTTGTTATAGGCACAATTAAATTCTTTCCAGAGCTCAGTTTAGTTGGTTAAATTATTCATACCCTTTTCCCTAGAAGTCTCGATATAGCAGCACCTGTCAGGTGTCATTATTCTACGAAGCCTGTTCATAGAGGATAGCGTGGCTCCTCAACAGGACCCCGTTGAGCAAAATGACTGATCTTGTTGAGGGGAATGAAGCGCCTCACGAACGAAGGCAACAGTGAGAGTGAGAGGCGCACCCATTCATGAGTGTTTAAATCCTCACAAAGGAAAAAGCGTCTAACGAATTTAGCACCGTTTCTATTAGAGCCCCGTCTGTCTTCATTGACGTACTCAGCAACTCGGGGAATTTCCGTGCCCAGTGCCAGTGCTCACCATTAATAAAACGCAGTCTTAAAATGTTTGAGTCGTGTATCTCTGTGCGCGATTTCCTCCCTAGAAATTATTAACTATACAAGAAGGGCGCGAACTTCTGTCGCGATGAACAAAGAAGGTAGTGCTACTCGGCCAGACTAGAAACTCTAGCACGAGTAACGTCACCAACGTAAAAAAAAAAAAAAAAAATGTATTTTTTTTAGGAATTTAGTTTTTTCAAGAAGGTTGTTTACGTTCAAACGTAGAAAACACAATCAGCAGGCCGTGCTTGGCACGCCCCCGAGCAGCGGTTGCTGCTAGCTTGGAGGGACCATGCTGAGCTCTCGATGAGAAAGCTGTCGTAAAATTTCCAGGAATATATATTAGAGCGCAGCTCTTAGGGGCCCGTTCCCGGCTTGAGCGGCGTCGGCGTCGCCGTCGCCGTAACCAAGGTCATCCCAAGGTCACTTGACCCCCAAGGTCATTCCAAGGTCACGTGACCCCAAGGTCACCCCAAGGTCACGTGACCCCTCCCCAAGGGTCATCTGGGGTCACGTGACTACCCAAGGTCACCCCAAGGTCACGTGACCCCTTCCCCAGGGTCACGTGACACCCAAAGTCACGTGGCTCCCCAAGTCACGTGACCCCCGGGGTCACGTGACCCCCCGATGACGTCATCAGTGACGTCACTGATAACGTCACTGGCATCCGCATCGTCATCGTCATCATCACTGATGACGTCATCAGTGACGTCACTGATGACGTCACCGGCATCCGCATCGTCATCGTCATCATCACTGATGACGTCACCGGCATCCGCATTGTCATCGTCATCATCGCTGATGACGTCATCAGTGACGTCACTGATGACGTCACCGGCACACACATCGTCATCGTCATCATCGCTGATGATGTCATCAGTGACGTCACTGATGACGTCATCGGCATCCGCATCGTCAT